GTTAGGGCGGCTAGGAGCTGGAACCAACTTCCAAGGGAAGTGGTGCTGGCCCCTACCCTGGGGGTCTTTAAGAAGAGGCTGGATGCCCACCTAGCTGGACTCGTTTGAGTCCCATTTCTCTTTTTGGGGTTTTTGTTGTTCTCCCGCCCTGGCGGGGGGTCGGGCTAGAAGATCTACTAGGTCCCTTCCGACCCTTAATCTATGAATCTATGAATCTATGAATCTATGACTTGTACCTTCCATTACAACTCTGTTTAAAAAATGATTTGATATAGTTTCATAACTCCTCTGTAATGCCATGACTGCTTCTATGATTTATCCTTCCACAGTGACAAGGTCCTGCCAAATTAGATTGTCATGAGGGTTTTGAGTAAAATCTCCACAGGGATTTGCAGGCAGCTCAGATTGACACTGAAGTAATTGTCAGCAATTGAGCCTGGATAGGGAACCTGTCCAGAATGGAACATGTCCAGAAAATGACTTTGAGTTAATGAAGACTTGACTTCATGAGAATCCCATAAAATAAATTAACAAAAAATAACAAAACCTGAAACCAAGCAAGAGCATCCTGAAAAATTATCTTCAGTTATTAGTCTTGGCACAGCAAGTAAAGCTGACCAAGTGAATATCTGCAAGAATCAACTATGCAGGCATCAAATATCAATTCATTATGACCTCTTGATCTTAACAAAATAATTCAGAAGACCAATTACATTTGACAGACAAGACTTTGGCAGGAGGATTGTTCCTTCCTGGGTTCTTGTTCACATTAGTTCCCCAATCCAACTGGACTTTATACAGGGTAATATAAAAGATATTAATAATGTATCTAACCTTGGTGAAAAGTATAATGTTTGTATAGGAGAACAAATTCATCACTCCACTTCAGTGAAATTTCACTAAAGATAACTTTGGCCTATTTTTCTAGAGTGCACAACCATTTTAATAGACACTTTGAATGAGATAGAGCTGTTAAAGGGTAACATTTCTTTGCACTGACTTAAAGTGTTTAAGAGGTTCTCACTACATAAATGCCAGTGGGCTTCAAGTAACACATTTTCCTAGCAACGAAAATAAAGGCATCATGAAGTAATTAAGGGTGTCTATACATGTACACTGAGGCTGCTCTGACACGCTGTAATTCAGAGCAGATTCGATGAATTGAGTCTGCTGGAGCATGGTAATTACTGCTCTCCAGCAGACTCCAGCATCACATTCATCTGCACCCCCATGCTAAAAAAGTGGCAGCAGGGGCACTTTAACTAAAGCTCATTTGATGAGCTTTAATTAGAGCACCCTGCCACCATTTTTCAGTGCAGGGATGCTGATACACATGATGATCTGGGCACTTTAGAGCTGCTCTAATTAAAGTCTGTCCATTCCCCCTCCCCCCCGAAGCATGTGTTTAAATGCCCTATATGCTTTACAGTATGATGATAGGTTTATGCTAGATATCAGTCTCTTAATCGACTGTACACCACTTGCTGTCTAATTTTCAGCCTGATGGTCATTTCAGTTCTAATGGTTTTGCTTTCATTGGCTTACCACACAACCAAGTTCTTAAATTGTATTTCAAACTATATTCTAAGTGTTATCTTATGGAGAGTCTAAGACTTTGATCCTTGCACAGTCAACCCATTTCCTCAGCTCAGTCTTGCCCCAGCAAAGATTAGAGTTCTTAGCTTCAGAATGTATTGAGCAAATATTTCCATAAAGAAAACCAGGGTAAGTGCAAATGTTTGGCTTTCTGCAGCTCACATTTTTGCCAGCAGTTGATACACAAAAATTGGGGTCCTTGACTACAGCTTATAGGTAAAATGATGACCGTAACAGTAGCTAAATAAAACAAAAGCTTGACTACTAGACCAAATCAAGAAAACTGTGAAACAGTTGACATTAAAAGGGCCCTGAACCCTGTTGAACTGGCATTGCAAGAAAATACTTACCTAGAAGCATGGGGAGTGTATGTATTAACTCCCTGGAGATGGAATGCGAGTTTCCAGATAACCCTGCCAATGCCCAGGGACTTGACTAGGAATTAGCTCAATGCTAAGTGATTATGAAAAATCCCAGTCTTAAATGGTCCCTGATTATAAATGACTCTCAAGCAAGGCTGTGTGAATTGCATGAGTTTTCAGATGAAAGAGTTGAAATATTTTCTTGTCTTTTAAATTTGATGTAAAATGATAGCTTATCTTTTGTATTATAAAAAGATGAGACAGTTCTCCCAGGCAGAAAAGCATGATTTAGGCCAGGACTATTGAATAGGCAGAATTCAGCTGACTCCAAAGAGCTTGCAAGGCTCTTTAGGGTTATTCTAGCCAAGAATCTTTATTTGACATGTTTGCTTTTGTGAAATTATTAGACACTCTTGCTGCCCCTTTATTCTGTGTGTTCTGTATCAGATTTCAGATGTGTTAAGAAACAAGGATATTTTTTGCTTTGTGTTTTGCAGACTAGATCTTCTTCTTCTTTCTTTGGGCTACGCCACCTTGATAACTTGCCAAGATGATGGACATGTCAGAATTCGGGGAGGCTGCGCCCTTCCTCAGGAAGACCGAGAACGAGCTGATGAAATTACAAACTGTGGCATTTGAAGGTAAGATATAGTCTCTGTAATTGGCTGGCAAGTGCTGCTGGCCTGTTCAACCCTGCAGTCATGGAGAAGTTGGTTAAATTAACCCACGCTGAACTCCATGCTACTGCAGCTGTGCGGTTACTGGCCCATGCAAGCCAGGTGAAAGCTCACTCAGGTATTACTAAACTGTACTGGAGTACTTGTGTGACTGCAGTGCGTGCAGACCCTTAGCTGGTGAACTCCATGCTTAATTGGATTCACAAATGAGGTGAGTTATGACTAAGCTTTTCAATGTAGCATACACTGAAATGTGTCTATTTAGACCAGGGGAAAAACAGTACCCTGATCTAACTAGATGTCTCTGTATTTAATCAGCCTCTATATTGCATATCAAGACATAGTGTATGATGGATATTCCCTAACCTCACCAGGTTGCCTGTTCCAGTCCTTAACCATTCCCATACTTAGATAAGTGTACATCAGCTTATCAATGACAGCCTGTCAATGACAGCTTATCAATGACAGCCTGTGTATACTGTATCATATTTATCCAAATTCAAGATGACTTTGAATTTAAGATGACCTGCCCCATAAATAGACTTTATAATTTCCCATGTGTAGAATGTAATTGAAGAAAGCCATCTTATATATGTTCTCTTGCTGCTGTGGTGGAGAAAGCAGGAGCAGGGGACCCAGGGCCAGATCCCCACCCTTACTCTCCTGTGCTTGTGTCTATCCCCCCAGTGCCTGCTCCCCTTGATGTCTGTCTTCTGCTATGTGCCCCTCTATACTTTCTTGCCCCTTTACACCTGTGCCTGACCCCTGCTTCAGGTCCTCTGTACCTGTTCCCCCACACACTCCATGCCCACCCTTCCTACCCCTCCTTACCTTCTGCTGCAGCTCTGGTCTGGCTCTGGGGCACTCAGCAGTAGTGGCGGCCCCAGCCCTAGCCTGGCCCCAGTTCTGGTCCAGCCCCTCCTAAGCAGAAGCTGTGGCAGCTCCCAGCTAAGCCAGGCCAGGCCAGGGCTGGAGGGACCAGAGCAGAAGGTAAGGGGGAAGGGGGCAGCTGTGGGGAGGGGGAGTAGGAGGGGGAGCTGCAGTGGGGAGCAGGGGGCTGAGGGATGGGCACTGGCTCAGGGGGCAGGGTGTGGGACAAGGTGCAGCCCCCCACCCCCATCTCCCCTGCACTCTCTACAGCAGCGAGCCCACTACCCCACCAAATGAGCTGTTACAGCCAAGCCCAAGTAGCAACTCAGCTCCAGCTTCAGCCATGAAGCACAGGAGTGAAGCTGGAGCTGAGCTGTCACTTGTGCCAGGCTAGTACCTGAATCCAAGATGAGGCTTTCCCCCTGCTATAATGATTGTGGGGGGCAGGGAGACTTCATCCTGGATTTAAGTAAATACAGTATGTATAAGGACAGCCTCTTAGTTTGTAGACTTCACTTTAAGTTATTTGTTTCCATAACTTATTTTTCTTGAAACCCCGTTCATGGAGGACCTTCAGGTATGGTAAGAAACATACCTACACAATAGTGTATAGTGTTAACAAACAATGTGTAGTATTTTTATAGTAAAGAGTAAAAGGCATTCTCTGGACATCTTCTGCACTTTATTACAGGAGTGGCCAACCTGCAGCTCCGGAGCCACATGCGGTTCTTTAGAAGTTAATATGCGTCTCCTTGAACCTCTGCACAAGCACACGGGGACCAGCTTCCATTTGGGAGAAGATGAGGGAAGCTGGTCCCTGTGTGCTTGTGCAAAGATTCAAGGAGACGCATATTAACTCCTGAAGAACCGCATGTGGCTCCGGAGCCGCAGGTTGGCCACCCCTGTAATACAGTGCCAGGACATGTGGTTAAAATGTGGCTGGGAAGCTAAGCAACCTGGGATTTGTTCTTGGTTCTGATAGCAATTCACTTGTTGAATTCTGGTGATTCTCTTAACATCTCATCTCCCTCTGTATATTGGTGATGAGACTACCTACCTTCTGGGAGAGTTGAGGCTTAATTATGGATTCTGAAATGTTCCCCTGGTGAAGCCTGGCGAAGAGAAGGCTCAGGGGGGACTTGGTGGCTGCCTATAAATATTTGAGGGGGCTGCATCAGGATGTGGGAGAACAGTTCTTCACCAGGGCTCCCTAAGGGGGGATAACTAGGTCTAACAGCCACAAACTTCTAGAAGGCCGTTTCAGACGCAATATAAGGAAAAACTTCTTTACAGTCTGGTTGCCCAAGGTCTGGAACAGACTCTCCTCAGAGGTGGTGCAAGCACCTATTCTGGACTCATTCAAAAGACATATTTGGATGTTTATCTTGCTGGGATCATCTGATCCTTGCAGACTTCCTGCATCTGGCAGGGGGCTGGACTCAATCTCACGAGGTCCCTTCCAGCCCCTAATGTCTATGGAATCTATGAAAAGCTCCCTAAGAGTGTAAAGCAGTACTTGCAAAAGGGAAACATTGACACAATATGATGAGATTTTTTTACCCTTTAACTACCCCCACAGCTCCAGTTCCTGTTGGTCAACATTAAGCAGTTGGATTGTGGTATAAACTAAGGGGTTTTGTACACTTGCAGTATAAAAGTAATCTTTATGATATTACTTGCAAAGATTAATTAATTTCTTTCATTTGAATAAATACTATAAACTGTTTGTTTCTTTGATTCTATAGGGAAGAAGAAATGTTGGATTCCTGATGATAAGAAAGCATATGTTGAAGCTGAGATTAAAGAGTGCTTCGGTGGCAAAACCACAGCTGAGACTGTGGATGGAAATGTATGAAACTTTAAATGTTGTTATTTGACTAGTGAGTTGAGCAATATTAATCCTCACCTAATGAGGGCTGAGGAGTAAGTTTCAGTAAATAGAAACTAGGTCAGTTTAAGAGCTCTTACTTCATTTATGCCATCCATAAAATACACTGTAAAAGACAAGCACTAGCAACCAGTTGTACTGTGAACATTAATGACACCTGAAGAAATAACCAAAGGAAAGAGAAATATAGAGGCAAGTCTAAAAAAAATTAAACCAAAGCATGACAGTAAAGATAAATAGAACCAAACCAGTCAATAGCTTGTACTTCATTTCCTCTTTGATATCTATCAGCCAAAGTTTGCAGCCATCGGACCCTATTTCCAACCGTATAAAAAAAATGAAACTGTATTGTACTTAAAAATAGTTCCATGATCCTACAACTTCATTCTCCATCTGTTTATCACCTGTCTACCTTCCACTGTGCCTTTGCTTTATATTCATCTGACACCTATTACGTACAATAGGGAATGGTCTTAGACCAGGTGGATTTACTGGGACATATATCACAATGTAGGATATGTGCAGAAACAGAGAGCCATGCTGGCTGCCAGGAGTATCATACATCTCTTTTTTTACAGACCGTCACTTTAAAAGATGATGATGTGCAGGCCATGAACCCCCCGAAGTTTGACATGATTGAGGACATGGCAATGCTGACCCACCTTAATGAGGCATCTGTGCTGTACAATCTGAGAAGACGCTACAGCAACTGGATGATTTATGTAAGAGTCACTGTTAAAACCAATATATTTTGAAGTAGAGCCCTCAAAGGCTACAATGCTAACCACTTGTTCCCAAATTGAAACAGCCTAAAATAGTGGGTTCCAGTTACATTTTCAGAGAAAAAAAATGTTTGAAGTCAATTTGTATCTGGAAAACAAGCTAACGAAAAATCCTGAACGAACAGAGACAATGTTTTTTATCGTCTCGGAAGCTACGAGTGAGGGAAAAGAAGACCAGGGAAGCTGAAGTGCTGGTTCATTTTATGCCACTCTCCAAGCTAATCAATGGCCTTCCAAACCAGCTGGATTTGCTGGTTTCTTACATGTCAGTGGCTCAAAATTTAAAGTATATGTGTAACTTTTATTGCATGGAACTTTACATTTTTAGCACAGCCATTTTGTTTCCTTTCTTTCCTGTTCCTCATTTTCACTCTAAATTCTTTCCTGGTTCTCTAGCTTTCTGAAAGTAACACAGTTTCTGTCAGCATCAGGATGAGCTTCAATAGCAACTAACTTCGTAAACCTAAATTTGGCCCGCAGCTTGGCAGTAACATGTTTGACTGAAATCCACGGGTGTGTGGGTTTTCTGACAAAGGAGGAATAACCCACTTTCCCCCTTCTAAATTAAGATAAAATGTTCCTGTACCAGGTCTTTGTATAGCGATATGCTTTCTGCATATGTCTCATGGTATGCGTGTGTGCATACCTCTTTCAAACTACAGTTTTGGCTTGCAAGTAGTTGATATAATCAAGACAACATTGTTCTCAGTGCACTACAGTGATTCCACCGCAGTTATCAACTTGCAGAATTTTTTTTTCTACCAGAAAGGTATTAACCTTTTTTACCCAACTACATGACCTCATTATAATTGAGGATGTCTGTTTAGGCTCCTTAGGGCAGAATCTGGTCCCTCTGTTCGTTAGCTTGTCATCTTTAAAACCAGGATCATTCTAACCTTCCTTTGTAAATCCCTTTAATATCGGTGAATAAAGGGAAATGACATTCAATGGGCTTGAGCCTTACAATGCTGATCAGAAAAATGCCTAAATCCCTTTAAAAATGTGAAGCAATGTATAAAAGCTGGGTACTGATTCAGAAAATACTGAGACCTGATTGATTTTTTTTTTCCTTATAAAATCTCAATCCTCTTTCTTTCTCCTTTCTTTACTCTCGGTTTTGGGTTCTTTTTTTAGACCTATTCAGGTTTATTTTGTGTGACTATAAACCCCTACAAATGGCTTCCAGTCTACAAGCCAGAGGTGGTGGGAGCATACAAGGGAAAGAGACGCTCTGAAGCCCCTCCTCACATCTTCTCCATTGCAGATAATGCGTACAATGACATGTTGCGCAGTAAGTAGCAGCATGTGCTTTTAAAACTGGATTTCATCCTATTTGCCTATGTGGCTTATACTGACTTGTAAATGGACAGAATTTTATCACATGTTAATCAGAAACCCTATTAGTATTTAGCTATACAAAAAAGACTAAACTATAGAAGAGGAGCCTAGGAATTTGCCTCCCTGGATTCTCCTCGTGTCCTGCCAGTACTGTGTGATTTTGGACAGGTATACCACTTACTCTTTGTGCATCACTTTGTCTGGGAAATAAGGCTAATACCTTTCTATCCAGCAATTGTGAAGGATAATCTATCCTAGTTTGTACTACAAATGGTGTGGCACCCCAGAAAGTCCATGAGCATTTGCTCAACCTTAAAAATAAAATGGCTTTCCGTATGCATACCCTCTTTTTGTGTTCAGTTTTCCCTAGTATGTGTATGTTCAAGTTATGCAAATGTTCATGAAAAGCAGATTGTTAAAGGCACTTACTCAAATATTTGCACGAAAGTGTCAGATTTATCTGAGATGGGATGTTTCTTGTCTCATCAAGAAGAGACTGTTCAAAAACCCTTTGCTGGAGCCTTAACCCAAAGGCAATCAAACAAGGCAAACAAGGCGCTGGCAATCTCCTTTGCAACAAAGAGTACTCATATCCATGCAATTATTTGTTGTGAGTGAGGAAGATCAAATTAAATGGAAATTCTGCACTTAGTCCTATCATACAATAGCCTTGGTTTTGCCCTACTCCCTACCCTCTTGGAGTGAGTTGGACAAGTGTGGCATAGCCCAAAAAAGGAATGAGTTTGCTGTTTTCTAAAATTATCTGATCCTGTTTAAAGTTCCTTGTCAGAGAGAGAGATACAAAGCCCCAGATGGCTTGTTCAAGTTTTCTGATAAGAAGAGTGTGCTTGTTCATTCATGGAATAGAAAGCAAATGCTTTCAAGGGCAATAAAACTGGCTCAATCTGGTCTGAACTCTTTCTACTTTGGCTCCACTCCCTAATGATGAAAATTCCTAAATAATACTCTGTGCTAGTATAAAAAGAGGGATCTATCTCTACATATGACCTCTGGAACTCTGAAAATCTGCTGCTGCAGAAAATGAGGACTGGGGAAAACAAATAGACATAATGGACAGAGGGGCGTTGAGATAAAAAATGTGACAAAACTTTGTGGAGGGAGTGTAAAATGAAACTCTTTAATTTTGTAACTTCCAAATTCTCAGGAGGAAGAAACCCCACAAAACCATTATGTGAGCTTAGCTTAGGCATTTCTTTGTGCCAAAAAATCAGTTGCTCCAATCAAGGCACAAAAAGGGGGAAATAGGGTTAAAATGGAAGTCCAGATTCAACCTCCACTCTGGAGTCATGACCACCTAATAATATTAGACTGAGTATCTGAATTTGCTTTAATGCAACCTGTCTAAAATCCTCCAGTCAAAACTCAGACTGGGCCTCTGATATTTCTGCAGCTGTGGGAAGGCTAGCTCATTTTCTAACAGTGGTTAGTTCAGGAGGATTTTACCCAAATCCAGGGGAACTAAAACAGAATTAAAATTGGAGTCTGGGTAAGAAAACCCATGTTTCTTTTGGGCTTGTTTTGTTTCTTTTTTCCCCTACATAAATGCCTAGGCTGTACACTCATTTATCTCCGTAACTGTACTGTGTTTATTGCCATGTTATCTGAACACCTACTCATAAATGGAATGAATTCTGGGTTTTCTGGACACAGTTCCCATGGACTGCTGTGTAAGTGAATGAAAAAAATCTCATTAGCAATCAGTAGTAGTAGACGTTCTATCTTTTAGTGCAGGAGTGGGCAATTATTTGGCCTAGAGGGCCACTTAAAGAGTTTTGGTGAACTGTTGAGGGCTGGGGGGTGGAGGTTGTTGACCTGACCTTGGCCCGCTGTCACGGCTATTTACACCACCTGGTGGTGGGGGGAGGGGGTGGGGCAGGAACTTGCCAATTGATCCTATCCAGCCCTGGGCCTGTCCCCACTGCACCCACCTCCAGGATCACTGGACAGAGCAGGGGGGCAGACTAGGTATCCAGGTCAGCTGGGTGATTGGGATGGGGCCACAGATGGGCAGGGAGTGGTGTCCAGGAGCAAGACAGGCAGGCAGGGCTGGGGCCAGGGCCAGGACTGCAGGGAGGTGACAGCACAGGGCCGAGGCCTGGGACAGAGTAACGATCCACTCCCCACAACAGGCACCGGTTCTTTGGGCAGAGGCCAGCCCCTACCCATGGAACCGGCGCCCGTTGCAGGGATGTACAGGAAGTGGATCATGGCTCAGCCCAGGCCAAGGCCCTGCCGCAGGGCGGATAGAATTGCTTGGTGGGCTCCAGACTGCATTTTGCCCACCCTTGGTTTAGTGGCCAATGCAATTAATATTTCAGCAAATTTTGATTCTTTCCATTAGAGGGCAGTGGCGAAGCATGCAGGCATGCCAACTTCTGTGGAGAAGTCTTATTACAGGTGTTAATACAAAACAGCAATTATGGAAGCATATGACTTGTAATGCATTTTTACTTGTTGGAAAAGAGTAACAATTGGAAGATGGTGGAAAAAGACAGAGGACAGGGAGACAGTAATGTAAACATGGCTATAAACTGAAGTTGGCATATCAGCCAACTAAAGTGCAATTAAGCTCAAAATGGGGCCAAATTAAAATTAATTCTGAGTGTAAATCATTGATGTAAATGGAATTAAACGTAAGATGAATTTGGCCCAAAAGTCTCTCTCTTTCTCTCTCCTTTTTATTTTTTTTGGTCTATAATTAAACTTGACTTGCTAATGTATTGTAGTGGTTAAGTACGGTTATAATTATACTTCAAGTAGCAACAATATTAATATTAAGTACAATAAGGATGTAGAAAGGAGATTAGACAATGTAGCTACACAGAGAAGAACAATTATAAAAGAGCAACTTAGAGCAAATGGCTGAGTAGGAGGAATTGTTTAGGTTGGTCCAGCAAGGCATGAACAGAAGGAGCAGATGGGCATGAGAAAATATATGTTTAGGAGGAGTCGGAGAAACACTTTGCTATTGCTGAGATCTTTCAGGTTATGGCATAGTTCCCAGAAGCAGTAGTTGAATGCACATCACTCGACAAAGCAGTGGAGAAGAAATTTAGTATAGGAAGGTAACTTGCACTGTCCCTGAGAGGTTGGAAAAGATGAGGGCTAATTGATCTTTCCATTGCTGTTTCCTGTTACTTTAAAATTCTTCATGTAACAACCCTGCAATACCAAGTAGTGTCTTGGACTTCTTACTGATATGAAGAGTTCGTTTTATTGACCTACCTTTCTTCTTGTTTTTCCTTTAGATCGAGAGAATCAGTCTATGCTGATCACGTAAGTGTTGATCTTGTTGAATGGGTTGAGAACCCGTCAGTGCAAAAATAATTCTTGCTGAAATGCAGTGTCTGAGAATGGGAGGAAAGGGCATTTGGCTAACCTCTGAATGCTCATCATCTTCCAAGGGCATGACACCTTGAAACTAGATGTGTAGTGTGACTGAAAATGAATTCTTTCACATCTAGAACTCAACACAAGTGATCAGTGTTGCCATCTGATGGCAATACTATGCCCAATGTGGATTGAATCACTAAGGACATAATAGATTATGGTCTAATCTCTAGCCAAGTAGTTGTGGTCCACTGAGAAGAGACATAAGATGCACTGAAAAAAGCATAGAAGTTTGTTTATATGTTTTCTTTTGATGTTCTGTCAATATGGAGAGGACCACATTAAAATGGCTATTTTCACCATCAAAAAATCTAGTTAGGATTTTGCCTAAGCAGTCAGATCCAGGGTGGGGGGAGTAGCTGGGATAATCAAAGCAGGCCATGTGCCGTGCTCTCTCCAACACAAGCAAGAGAGCATGTTGCCCTGGAATACGATGCATAGTTCTCAACTGCTCCATGTATGATACTGGTCCAGTAACCGAAGTCTTTCTAGGTCTTATTCCGCCTACTGGCTATAAAATTAACTTAACCTCCTGTGTAGAGACTTTAGGTTTTTAATGAGACTTAATGTCCTTAGGGAGAAGGTGAAAATTTTGGAATTTTTAAATGAAGTATCTGAGCCCAAGCCGGTAAATAGTTAGCTACCGGTGGGGTGACCATTTAACCCTGTTTATCCAACCGAATTATATATCGTTGCCCCTCAAAAGCCCAGGCAATAGGGTCAGGAAACAGTAAATAGTTAAGCAAAACCTGTTAAGAATGAATGAGTAGAAGGTAAGCTGATCGCTTACACACGTTTTCACAGTGTCACTATAATCACCCCTCTATTTGTAGTGGAGAATCTGGTGCCGGCAAGACTGTCAACACTAAACGTGTCATTCAGTACTTTGCCACAGTAGCAGCTATTGGTGAGCCTGGTAAAAAGAGTGTGAGTATGGAAGGAGCTGTTTCATTCTGATTCCAATATAATTTCACTGTATGAGACTAACCCCAAGTGTTCATAAGCTGCTGTTGGAATAACGGTTATTGAAAACACAGGCAAAAGATACTGACACTTCAGTAGATAACACTTCTCTTTCTGAGTCAGCATGTGTCTGATGTTGGGGAACTGTGTTATGATGAACCTGTTGCATTTTCAGGGTGGAAAGCAAAGCTAGGGTTTTGTCTACTTGTGGTTATTAAAGACTGAATGCCACTCTCTTCCAGGCATAATGTCCTAATTAGGCTCTAGATTTGATCATACATGTGTTTTTATATTCCATGAGGGGAAAAAAAAGGACTTTTTGTCAATATTTTTTTCAGATTTTGGCAAAAAAAATAGGTTTAAAAATGGAAAACTTTTTTTTGTTGTAAAAACGGGAAAAATTCCCATCAAAATTACTGTTGTGATGCAAAGTTTGTTTTTGACCCAAAAAAAGAAACCCCAAAAACCTGAGATAAAAATTTTAACCAGCTCTCCTAAGTTGCAATTTGAATTAGATACATGCCGCCTTGAAGTTCCAATTGAATACTGTGTTCACATTTCTTTGCTGTATAGTATTGCTGTCTGTTGTTAAACAACTGCTTCAATTACCTCTAATCTGCTAGTTTTGTACCTGTAATTGATGATGTCACCAACATCATGTGTTAAACTAGCATGTATTCAGGCATATGTAGGTGCATAATTGTACAAACCCAGAGCCTAAAGATAGACATTTTATCTCTTTAAAACATTGTAAAAAAACTACCTCCATTATTTCCATTATCCATAACTAAAGGATACAGCAATTCAAATCCAGCTTCTGTGGATTTTCCCGTTTTCTAAAACTTGCCTGTTTTTCCTTGAATCTTTTCATCCTTGTCCTCTGATGTCATGTCTTCTCTGTGAATCCAGTTTGTCTTTAAGTCTAGTTGGAACACATGTGGGACACCTAGCTGAAAACTTGGATAAAAACCTGTGAGGGAAGAGAGGTTTGGCCCACACATTCCTATTTTCAGCTATGTAGTGGGTACAGTGTCATAGCAAGTGTGGGCTGGCGGGGTAGACTGCCCCAGGTGCTGAAGCAAAGGGGTGCCTATAGGTGCTGCCCAGCCAGGGCAGGGTATAGGACGGAGCAGTGAGCGGCTTGTTTAGGGGGTGTGGGGACGGGTGGCTCCCACCGCTGCTTGCACTCCTGGGCAAGCATGGGGAGGATGTGCCCCCCAGATCTGTGCTCAGGGCGAGGGTGGGCTGCTGCTGCGGACTTTGCCTTGGGCACCAAACTTAGGTGCTACAGCACTGAGTGGGGAAGCCAGATTCATTCTGGTAGAGGGGTAGATCTTGTCTCCAAAAATCTCTGAATCTGTATTCACGTGCTCTGGTTATTCTTAGGGCTTGCCTGGTTTGTGCTTGTTAGGTCTCTGACTCTTGGGAGTCTTTCAGCCTTTTGTGACCTCCCTTCATATTAGTAATCATTCTGTCACCCTTTTTCTTTTTCCTTCTGTTGATCTTCAAATAATAGCCAGCCACCAGGACTGGGGTAAGTAGATGACTTCAGTATTTTATTTTAAAATGTCAAGATAAGCATGAACTGAGTTCTGTCGCTGCAGGTTTGTGAATGTCAGTTCAGCATTGTTCCAGTCTGTGTTGTCCCATTGTAGAAATATTCCTCTGAGACTATGCTATTCAGGATGTAGTCACTGGCTACTTGAAATGGGAGCTTGGTGGTTAAATAGTTTAAATGAAAATCTTATACATTAGGAAGTTTGAGTCCTTTCAATCAGTTGTAATGATGGATCTCTTTTATTAGTGTTTCTCAGTTTTTTTCTCTAGTCCCTCTATATGCACTGTTTTACATTGAGGTACATGGCAGCACATCAGTAAAACTGCTGTGTTTGTTCTCATTTGTCATTAAGCACCTAGGACTGGAAGGGGCCTTGGAGGCCACTGTTTTCAATCCTTTGCATTCACAAGTGACCATGGTCCAAAAGGATCCACAGTAGCATCCATTGGTTCCTCTTGCAAAACCCTGGCATAAAATACCCTTTAACAATAACCTTATCCCATACCATAAGTAAAGAGCAAGGAGGACAGTGTCACCAGTGCTTTTAGGCATAAATTCTGCAAGACAAAACAATAGAAAGCAGTTAGGGTTCAGACCTCTCCGGTGCTGAGTTGAGAGTCCAACTGTTGTCCTCCATCTACACCATGCAGACTACGGGTATGAGCAAAGTTACTTTGTCAGTCAGGCTTCAGACTGTAATTATATACATACAGTTTGCTTACTGTATTTCTCTTCTGCAAGTATATTAATAGTAATTGAATCCTTTGAATTAAAGGGAACCTTGGAAGATCAAATCATCCAAGCAAACCCAGCTTTAGAAGCCTTTGGGAATGCCAAAACGCTAAGAAATGACAACTCTTCACGTTTTGTAAGTCTGTATGCAATAATCACTTTTATAAAATACCCCTCACTTTCCTCCATGGAAAGCTTTAGATTGCTGATAACTGACATACAACTAACAGGATCTAATCAGGAAAAAATGCTCTCCCAAAACCAATACCAACACTGAGCAGCTTAATTTAAAAGAGAAGTGTGTGTATGCTATATAAAACTCACACACTTATCAGGCCTTTACCATCCAGAGACAGAAAGTGATTAAAACAGGGAATACACCAGATGAAGTCTAAATAATTTGGGTAAAATTTTAATCAGATGTTGAGCCCTGTTGTCTCAGTGGACACGTGTGCAAATTCCAAGGGCAAAGTAGCATGAAAACAGCAACACTGCTCTGATAACCCATTGGGGAAAAAGGCAGCGTGTATGAAGGCCCAGAATGAGGGTAAGAATCCAGAACGGAAATAGAAGAAGAGACCTGTCATGAAACAGAGACAGAGAGAGTCTCATTACTCTGACTGAATGACAAAGCAAGGGGTATAGTATAAAGCTGCAACCAACAGCTGAAGTCTGTCTAGCATGCTGTTTGCACCTGGCTGCATCTTTGTGTGTGAAATGAATATGAGTATACCATTTTCCTCACAGGAATGTTTTGAGGATTACAGAAGTATATCTAAGTTTAGGCATTGAAAAACATTAAGCACAATATTTAGTAATATCTAACACATCCCACCGTATTGCATAATACTAAATATCCTTTAGAAATTATCTTCTCCCGACACCAAGTGCCAAGTGTAGGCATTGTATCTTGTGTATCCTTTTACAGTTTATTTGCACTAATTAGATTTTTTTTTTGGCACAAATTAGGGTAAATTTATCAGAATCCATTTTGGAACCACAGGCAAGCTGTCATCTGCTGATATTGAAATATGTAAGCAGCAAATTTTCCTTTTGTTCTAGAAAAACAAATTATTTTCCAAAACTTCGGAGAGAAGTTTTCTTACTGAATTTTTCATTATTTAACTAGATTTACTTGAGAAATCCCGAGTGATTTTCCAGCAGCCAGGTGAAAGATGTTATCACATTTTCTACCAAATCCTATCAGGAAAGAAAGAAGAACTCCAGGGTAAGAATAAGAGACTGGCTCATGGATGCTATGAGTAAATCTCTGAGGGAAAAACTGGCTGTTATGTTCAAAAAGGTTCTTCTGGTCCCATTCACCAAATAAATTGAGATTAAGCCTCTTAACATGAAATGCCACTAACCAGTATGTCTTCTAAATGAGATTTTTTTGATAGCTGTGACAAGGAGGACCAGTTTTCTTCCTGATGTGCAGGTCTGAATTGCCTGCCACTGTTAGGCATAACAAATGATGTTATGCATTAGTATAGGCAAGTGGAGACTGAAGAGGGATTTTAAAATATTTTTCACAATATATGACAAAGAATAATATATTGCATTTCTCTAGCCAAGTTCTCAAAGCATGTGTCAAACATGAAGCCTCAAAGCACTCCTCTGGCATTATAGCCCCATTTTACACATGGGGAAGATGAGGCAAAGAGAAGGGGAGAGGACTTGCCACAATATATATGGCAAATCCAGCCCAGCTTCCTTGCCCTGTCCAGAATACTAGCATGTGTATAATGCTTGGGTTGAATGATAGCATATACAAAGCCAGGTGGAAGACAATTACATTCATAGTTGGTAGGGTCGGAAGGGACCTGAGCAGATCATCAAGTCCAACCCCCTGCCATGGGCAGGAAGGGATGTTGGGGTCAAACAACCCCGGCTAAGTGATTATCTAGCCTCCTTTTGAAGACCCCCAGGGTAGGAGCGAGCACAACTTCCCTTGGAAGTTAATTCCAGATCCTAGCTGTCCTGACTGTGAAGTAGTGCTTCCTGATGTCTAATCTGAATCTACCCTCAGTCAATTTATGGCAGTTATTCCTTGTTACTCCCAGTAGTGCTCGGAGGAACAAGGACTCTCCCATAGCCTGCTGGTCCCCCTTGGCCAGTTTGTAGATGGCCACCAGATCCCCCCTCAGCCTTCTCTTGTGCAAGCTGAACAGGTTCAGGTCCTGTAGCCTCCGCTTGTAGGACCTGCCGTGCTGCCCCCTGATCATGCGGGCGGCCCTCCTCTGGACCCTCTCCACATTGTCCACATCCCTCTTGAAGTGCGGCACCCAGAACTGGACGCAGTACTCCAGCTGCGGCCTGACCAGTGCCGCATAAAGGGGGAGGATCACCTCTCTGGACCTGCTCGTGATGCATCTGCGGATGCATGACAAGGTGTGGTTAGCCTTCCTGACCGGGTCCCCACACTGCCGGCCCATGTTCATTCTGGAATCAATAATGACTCCAAGATCCTTTTCTGCCTCTGCACTGACGAGAAGGGAGTTCCCCAGCCTGTAGGTCTGGTGCTGGTTCTTCCTCCCCAGGTGCAGTACCTTGCATTTCTCCGTATTGAAACCCATCCTATTCTCATCCGCCCACCCCTGTAACCTGTCTAGATCTAATTGTAGCCTGTCCCTCTCCTCCAGCATGCCCACTTCTCCCCACATCTTTGTGTCATCCATGAATTTGAACAAGGTGGTTTTCATCCCCTCATCCAAATCACAGATGAAGATATGGAACAGTGTGGGCCCGAGGACTGAGTCCTGGGGGACCCCACTGCCCACATCCCTCCAGGTCGAAAAAGACCTGTCCACCACCACTCTCTGGGTGCAGCCCTCCAGCCAATTTGCAACCCATTTGATTGTGTAGGCATTGACGCCACAGTTGCCTAATTTCTTAATGAGATTGGGTGAGAGACAATGTCGAAGGCCTTCCTAAAGTCCAGAAAGACTACATCCACTGCAATACCTGTGTCCAAGGATTTTGTTACCTAGTCACAGAAGGCCACCAGGTTGGTCTGACAGGACCTGCCTCGAATGAACCCATGTTGGTTGCCCCTAAGCATGATCCCCACTGCTGGTCCCTCGCAGATGTGCTCCTGGATAATTTTCTCAAAGAGCTTCCCCAGAACTGAGGTAAGACTAACGGGCCTGTAGTTTCCTGGGTCCTCCTTCCCCCCTTTTTTGAAGATGGGAACCACACTGGCCCTCTTCCAGTCCTCTGGCACCACACCAGAGCACCACGAGTGCTCGTAAAGCCATGCCAGGGGTCCCACAATGACCTCATCTAATTCCCTCAGCACTCTGGGGTGGAGATCATCTGGACCAGCTGATCTGAACACGTCTAGTCCCTCCAGAAATTCCCTGACTAGGTCCCCACTGACTCCGGGCCTGGCAGCGCCTCCCCTGGGTCTGTTGGGGACCCCGGTGGGGGGGATGCCCTGGTTACTGCTCAAAAAAATGGAGGCAAAGAAATTGTTAAAGAGGATAGCTTTGCCATCTGGTGTAACTGCCAGATTTCCTAGTCCCAGTTCCATCTTCACCTTGGCCTTCCTAACAGCCCCCCTACAGTCTTAAGCAATGGAGGTATAAGCCTCCTTGGTGATGGCCCCTCCCTTCCATTGGGTATACGCCTCTTTTTTAGCTTTGGGACATTCCTGGATGCTTTTGGTGAGCCATGGAGGATTTTGAGCACTCTTGCCCCTTTTGTTCCGTGTTGGGATTGTCACCCTTTGGGCTTGGAGGATCGTCTCCTTAAGGAACGACCACTCTTCTTGGACTCCGAACTTCCCTCCCCTCCAGGACCTCAGTGCCTCCCCTACTCGTCCCCTTACCTCATTGAAATCCGCCCTCCTGAAGTCTAGTGCTGTTGCCTTGCTGCAGGCCTTTGACACCCTGCGCTGGATGGTAGGGAGAGGTTCATTGAAATTCCATCTTGGCTGGTATTCAAGAAGTCCCCTAGAACAGTTGGGGGCAAACTTTTTAGCGGGCGCATCACACACACGCCTTGAACACCTCCTCTCTCCCTCCTCCTAAGCGCCGCTCCAATGCCTTTCCCTTGCCCAATCTGCTGCTCTTCCTTCTGCTCCCTGCCCTATCTGCCAGTTTGCCACCTGCGACACACAAAGGCTACCCATGCCACTTGTGGCATTTATACTACAGGTTGCCCCCCCTGCCCTAGAAATATGTTGGAAAATGAATGGAACTTCTCAGTGTTTCTAAGAACTTTTTCAAAGTCCTCACTACTGTTCTTCTAAAGTAATGTGGCTCGCTGAGCTTGCTGACTTCAATAACATGCACTGTAAGAAACATTTCATGTAGTATACTGAAGAGTCACTTATCCCCATAGTAAACTGCTGCTATGTAATAGAAATCATAATCTGTTTTGAAGTCTCATCATCCTGACAGTGAGTGGTCAAACTACTAAACCCTTAACCCTCTTAGCTTTTCTGTGCCCTAATTAAGGAAGATTAGGGGAAAGGTTCCAAGGAAGAGCTTTGCTAATGAGATCTAAGCATGAATCCTCATGCTGAGAAAATGTACTGCTTGTCAAGAACAGTGTATCTTTTACTTTCCACATCAGAGTTAGCGCCAATGGGCTGCAGGAGTCTTGCCAGTGGTTGAAATTAGTAGTGACTATTTCTGACTGCTGAGGGAGGGGAAAGACTTAATGAAAGCTACATCAGGGGAGTACATCAGGGGCTCGGTGAGCAACTGTTCAGCAATGTGCCCTTGGGGAGAACCACGAGTAATGGCCATAAACTCCTAGCAGACTGTTTCAGGCTCAACATTAGGAAAAACTTCTTCACAGCTGGGTGTCCAGACTGTGGAATAAACACCCTCCAGAGGTGGTGCAATCGCCTACCCTGGAAATCTTCAAGAGGAGACTATGGACGGTCACCTTGCTGGGGTCACCTGACCCCACCTGTCTTTCCTGCGTGGTGCAGGGGGCTGGACCCGATGATCTTCCAAGGTCCCTTCCAGCCCCTTACAATCTATGAAAGTAGAATCTAAGTGATCTGTTACTTAGAGATGTAATCCACCAAGGAGGGGTAAAACTTCCCATCTTGCCTCAAAGAATGGGAATTCCACTGATGTTTGCAAACAGGAGCTTTTCTAACATGGCTTTAGTTGTTGTTTTTCAGTTGTTGCTGTTTGCTGTGTAAGAGAAGAAAGCAGTAGAACAGGAAAATCAAGAGCTGAGTGACTCCATTGTTGGCAGGGTCAAATGCCAAGTTCAACAACATTTCACTGGACATGGCATGCCAGTGCTTTCACAAACTGCAAACTGAATGAACACAGCTGGGCCCCAAGGCAGATCAGTTTCCTGTTGTACTTACTGGAGCTGGGCTGATGCCTAGGCAGGACTTTTAAAAAAAATTCTTCTTAGAGAACAGTTCAGCCCTCATTGAAATGAGTAAGGTTCACTTCATGCCTGGGTGCATTTTAGAAACAAAGCTCTGATTTGATGCTGCTCCTACCAAACTCCTGCTGCCTTCTTAGTGCTCTACTGCATTCTCCAATGTCTGCTGGTCCCTCTGCCACTTTTTCTGGTAACCTGCTGGTCCTCCCTCCCCACCCCACTGCTTGTTGTTTACTACTGGTGGGCTGGATCAGATCTCTTTGAGGGTTGGACCTGGTCCTTGGGCTGTAACCCCAGCTCAAATTCATTATTTTTTGAGTGCCTCTCACAAACATTTAAACACACAGCACCCTCACCTAGTCCTCTGCCTTAATTGTTGTCAGTTATACGTTGGATTATACCAAGGTTTTTTGCTCTGCTGAACACACCTGGGTTCTTTTATCCCTACAACTGGCTCTGCAGTAGGCATGTATTAGAGAAAAATGTAGATACACTTGATTCAGTCATCTTGGCATCTTTGATAGACCACATATGATAGACCAAATATGTGTCCACATTCTGGCATGTTCATGCTCAGTTGCTCTCTCCAAATCCTGGTTTATTTTAAAAGGGAAATATAATAGTCTGGAGTGAGACACTAGGTTCCTGATTTCAGTTCCTGGGCATGCTGAGGTTTCAGGAACCTACAGAAGTTTGAAGGTTGTGCTCTAACTCATGAGCGCTGTGAGTTAGAGCCTTCCTTGACCCAAAAGGGAAAATTGCTCCAGAGGAATATCTCCAGGCTTGCGTAATAGGTATGTGCAAAGGGTTTTTAGAAACTTCTAATGAAAAGGGTCTACTATTCTCTGTCATTCTCTAATTACACTTCTGTCTTATAGCAGGAGTCATTGGGCCTATTTGGTAAAAGGTTTTTAGTGCTGCAGCACGCACACAGGTAAAATCTAAAGAAATAAGACATAGTAGCTTAAACCGAAGCCAGTTGTTCTCAGACTTTTAGGCCTAGTATACATGACTTATACAACATGTCTTCCTCCTCATGATCACTACATTTACTTTAGTTAACCACATGCTATTTTTTTCCTTCTTGTCTAAAATATTTTTAGTCTATCTTATAGTGTCTGCTTTTCATTATGGAAGACAAAAAAGCAGGACATTGAAACTTATATTTGGCTAAGCATCTAATTAAAGCTGCTTCTGAGAGTCCCCACTGTTCATGTGAGGTGAGCAGAGCTTGGAACAAGGGAGAAGGAGTCTTATCTGGAGGCCACTATTAGTTCGGGACCCTTTTGTGCCAAGCTCTGTACAAACATCCTGTAAATGACAGTCCCTGTCTAAATGTACTTGCAGCATAAAAAAGATTTTTTAAAAAAGATTAATAGAACAAGCAGGAAAGAAGAAAGCAAGTGGCAACAGAAATAATAAGGTATCTGGGCATAATTTAGCTGTGTTTACCACTCATTATAGCCAGGCCTGGACTACAGAAATGATGGTTTTATCTGGTGGAAATGGGGTTGGGAAGAGGGTACCTGTGGATTACTTGTATTCAGAAGATATAAACAGAGTGCGAATTGTGAATACTTTACATGACTTAGTACTCCTTTTCTCCTTTCTTTCAAAGCAAAAACATGAGGGGTTTGTGTGTGTGTGTGTGTGTGTGTGTGTGTGTGTGTGTGTGTGGGATCATACGTGCATATACATACTTACAGAGGGATAGATATGTGACAATGGATCCCATCTTCTTGAATTAGTTCAGGCAATTCTGCATGGCAATTTTTGATCATGGCAATTCTTTTGCAGATATGTTGCTGATATCTACCAATCCCTATGACTTCCACTTTTGTTCACAAGGCGTGGTTACTGTGGACAACTTGGATGATGGAGAAGAGTTGATGGCAACAGATGTAAGTCAGTCATTTGGTATTTGCTTGCCACATGAAATGTGTACGTGATGAGGAAGAATGCTGTCTGGGGGGTGGTCCAAATGCTATTGAAAAGGCTAGGAAGTTTTACCATTGTGCTAAGGAGGAGCAGGAATGAAGCCAAACTGCTAGTTGAAGCATCAAGATGAAGCATGAGGTTTGATCACCTTATTGTTTGGAATCTCCATAACCATAAGCACACAGTTCTGACTGGTTTTGATATGATGATTACAATTATATAATAATTTTAATATCAGAATATAGACAATATATATTTGTATATAATAACCCAATACAGGAGACATCTGTGTGCTGTTTTCTTTTTATTATTTTTTCTCACAGCAAGCCATGGACATCCTGGGTTTTATTCCTGATGAAAAGTATGGTGCCTACAAAATGACAGGTGCAATCATGCACTTTGGAAACATGAAATTTAAGCAAAGACCCAGAGAGGAGCAGGCAGAGGCTGATGGCACTGAAAGTAAGGCTAATACCTAGCAATGTGTCTTACCTTTAAAAGTGTGAGGTGTGCCATGCACTGTATATGGCTAAAATATATGTTCCTGCTGGTTCAAACTTGTGGAAGTGTCCTATTTTTCATTTTGGAGGGCCAGGATTATGTATTAGCTGTAAGAGAGGTGCTAGTTTAATAAAAGGTGTGACCAAATTGTCAGTCAGGTCAAGTACAACGTTATGTTCCTTTCCTCATGTTTTTAACTCTGAATTACAATCGTCTGTAAAGCTGCATTGTTCTGGCTGTGAACATTGCTCTTTCAGTCTTCAGTTCCTCTCATCTCTATACTTGGCCTCCCTTCAATGAACTGGAGCCTTCTCAACTGTGAAGGTTCCCAACTCAGCTGTGTGTCCTTCATGAAGAGCCTCTGGTGCTGCATTCATATAAGGACTCTCACATTTTTAAAGGATGATTATTGAGACTGTTCAGATGTAGTAGGTATAACACCGACTCACACAACTTCTGGAAAGACTGGAGACAAACCTAGAAACAATTAAAAAGCCATTATCCAGTTTAGGAGCTGATAGGTCTAATGAGTGTTTCTGTGCATGCATGCTTTCATGTCTCAACTAAACTTGATTTGGAATCTTCTTTCTCTTGATTAGATGCTGACAAAGTTGCTTACCTGATAGGTATTAACTCCTCTGACTTGGTTAAGGGATTGCTGCACCCCAGAGTAAAAGTTGGAAGTGAGTACGTCACCAAAGGTCAAAGTGTTGAACAGGTGAGAAGCAGCCTTCAGTGCACTTGTTCTTACAGGCCAGGTGCCTGCTCCACAAGTCCACAAATGTCTACTGCAGAATTCTAAACAACGGTTACAAAAAATTCTTGCACTAGCATGGCTGTGCATCAGTAGATCCTAATGCATCTTTTGCAAATTCCAAACTATTTCTTATTTAAAAGTTTTTCCTGGAAAACTTGGTTTACCTAAGTGGAGAGGGCTTACTGGGATATGTGGGAGTGGCCTCATTATCACGTATATTGGAAGCCGAGGTTTGTGGAAAATGTTTGTCGGCCCACAATTTGTCAAGGGGTTGGACAGTGCTAGGAAGCACTGCTACACTGTCCTTTTTCCACCAGATACTTCTCAACACGGTGGAAGCTTTTTCTCAGTTGAGCTTGTGTTTTACATACAATTCTGAATTGGATTTCCTTCTTAGCTAGAAATTTGCTGCTCTGGCATGTGCTGCCCTTCCTCCACCTCCACTGTTTTGGCATCTGGACCACAGAATGATAAATTAATAATGATAAATTAAGTAATATATTACAAATATTTATAGCAGGTAGTTATACCTCAGTGCCTGTGCTATGGAGAAATAAGGAAGGAAGAGACTTGACAGTAGCACCATTTCCTTGATGTAGTAGTAACAATCATACAAGGAAAATGTGCAGAGTAAACCACTTAGATGACAATTCCTATTTCTGAATATGATTTACTCACATAGGAGAACTGAGACAGATGACAAGGAGGAGGAGGAGGATCTCTCATTTATTATTTACCAGTATATGATTTTAGCATCAAGGCTTTCCTAATTAATCCCTATTAGTTTATCTAGTCAAGAAGTCATTGAGCAAGCACTGCTGCCTCTTTGTGGTAGGACCACAAATGATGCTGAGGAGGTTGTGTTTTGTGATCTGTAATCAGAGCACCATTGCATCACGGTTGTCAGAGGTTAAGTCTGGTGTTTCCTCTTTGTGATTTATTAGGACAAAGAAGAGGTATGGCTAGTACCATTTTGTGGTATTTTGATTGTCCCTTCTGTTCATATGAGTATCACAGTTGCAAGCTGAAGGTCTCTGTGGCTTCCTACAAAAAATGGGGAGCAAGTAGACTCAAAAATCACTGTTGGCCTTCTGACCCAGTGAGCTTCTCCTCAGTAATGGAGAACCACTCCTATTCCCAACCCCACAGTCAAGGGCCTCTCTGATATATGGGTACATATTGCATGTACAGTAGGGCTGTGCAAAGTTTTGGTCCTAGATTCGGCCCGAATTGGTGGCCAAATCTCTGAATATGGATCAAATCCGAGGACGATTTAATCTCTCCAAATCAAATCAGATCCCTCTGAATTGATTCGGAAAGATTCAGTGATTCAGACATAGACACAGCTTTAAATGTTTTTTCTACATACCTATAGGTAGCAGGTGGCTCGTGAATGCTGTGATGGTGGGGCGCACAGTATGGGGGGCTCCCCAGCAGCAGACTCAGAAGTGGACCATAAGCACTTCTGGTCCGCTTCTGAGTCTGCTGTAGAGCGCGCAGGAACTGGTGCCTCCTGGGTCTGGGGAGGTACTGGGTGTCCCCCCATGGCCAATCACTGAGCCAGGGAGGGGTGCAAGGCCCCACCCCCCATGCACTCCCTGGAGGACCTGGAAGTGGACTGGAAGTACGTCTGGTCCACTTCTGGGTTTGCCGCCAAGCACTCACCTCCCCAACCCCCCCCACTCCTGTGGGACACTCCATCCGCCCCAGCATCGCAGCGTTCATGAGCTGTGCCTGGTACCTTGAGGTATGTAGAAAAAACATTTAAAACTGTGTCTATGGCCAAATCACTGATTCTCCAAATCAGCATCGAATCTTCAGATTCAGCCAAATTGAATCAGGGACAGTGATCCGAATCAACAAATCAAATCTCTGTCCCTTATTCGGGGAAATCTCAATCCAAATCGAATAGGGCCTGCTTCACACACCCCTAATGTACAGCCATTCATGAGAGAGTGTCTCTCTCCAGACTCTAGCTGCAGTTGAACATTGTCAGATTTCACAAGCCTTCAAAATACTGTCCATTTGCACCCAAGGAAGCCTTTTGGTGCTGGGATTTTGCCCAATAAATATATTGGAGTCAAGATAACTGTAACTTTCAATATATGTTTTTATATACATTTAGCAAAATTCATAACTACAAGCACTGTAAGGAGAAAAAAGGTACAGCACAGTTCATAGGGGAAGCTTTCCTGAGGTTGTTAGATGTTCACCACAAAGCATTAGAATCGCTGTGAAACTTTCTTTGAGTTCTAAGCATGGGCTCAACAGATGAAATGCTCTTGAGAAAAACAACCTTGTGTGCTGTTGATGAATTATGTCCCTATTACTGTCTGGTACCCAAGTGTGTGTGAAACCTATCTTTCAGGTTGTGTATGCTGTTGGAGCTTTATCCAAGGCAATATATGATCGAATGTTCAAGTGGCTAGTGGTGCGCATTAACAAGACCTTGGACACTAAACTGCCAAGACAGTTCTTCATTGGAGTCTTGGACATCGCTGGATTTGAAATCTTTGATGTGAGTTTTGATTGGTACTCTGTGGAAGGCTGTGAATGCTACTGAGCAATGTGTCTCGGTTTTTATGTTTCTTCTTAACAGGACAACTGGAAAGAGCAATGTGGCTAAAAGGCAAAGCAAGATGCTGGGTGGAGTGTGTGTGGAGTGTACTCAGCAATTTGCAGGAGTGGACATGCAGTCTGTTGCTTGCATGGAGAATGTAAGTGATATTTTGGAAAGGGCTCTGGATCTCACCAGGAGCCAAGATAAGGATCTGAAGGACTTCTGGATCTCATCAGCACTTGACTGGAAGAAGCCGCGTTTTTTGATGTCTAATGCCACAGATTACTCATCTTTGAGTGAAAATTCTTGTTATGGCTCCTGTTTTTGTAAAGTCTTTTGTAAAATGGTACATGTAAGGAAAGTGTCTTAGTCAACAAGGCCTCTGCCCCAAATCACATTCTTGAGAGCTGGAAGGAAGCCTTTATAAAAAGGAAATAAAATATAGTCTAGTACATCTAGCAGATACACTGAAAGATTCCTCAGCTTGGGCTCTGTCCAGCCCTATGAACCCTGCTGTACAGCCCAATGGTCTGCTCTCCTGCGTCATCTTTCTGGGGCATACATTCTTTCTAAGGCAGGGGTGGGCAATTATTTGGGCCCACAGGACACGCAGGGAGTTTTGCTTGGCTGTCATGGGCCAAGTCAGCTCCTCCCCTCCCTGCCCACGGCTCACCAAAACTCCCTATGTGGGATAGGGCTGTGGGAAGGCGGGGAACAATGTTTGGGAGCAGGATGGGAGGGTGAGGCTGGGCTCATGGGGCAGGGTCACGGGGTGGGGAGGAGGGAGACAACATGGGGCCAGGGCCAGGTCAGAGCCACCATCCACTGCCTGCACATCCCTGCAACAGGTGCCAGTTCCTCAGGCAGAGGCATGCAGGGAGTGGATTGCAGCTCTTCCCTGGCCCTGGCCCCACACTGTCACCACCCCAAGATCTCAGCCCCAGCCCCAGACAGAGCTTCCCACCCTCCCAGCTGAGCACTTTGCCTGCACAGCTCCCATCTGGTCTCCATAGAGATCCCAGGATCACAGGGCAGTAACAGCACAGGGCTGGGGCAGAGCTGCAATCCACTCCCCATGCACCCCTGCCTGCAGAACTGGGGCTCTGCCCTGGCCTCAGACCTGGCCCTGCCCCTGCACTGTCATTATCCAGTGATCTCAGGGTCTCCATGGAGACCAGTCAGGAGCTGCCTGGATGTGATAGGTCGGGACAGCGACAGTGTGGGGGCCAGAGCTGGGGCAGAGCCACAATCTGCTCCCTACATGCCCCTGCCCATGGAACCTGCACCCATTGCAGGGGTGTCCAGGCAGTGGCCTGAGACTCTGCCCCGGGCCCCGGTTCCCCCAATGTCACCCTCCCAAGATCCTGGGGTCTCCCTGGTTCATCCTGCTCCTGAACAGCACTCCCTGTCTGCCTGCAGCCCCATCCCAGATGCCCAACCATGCACCTTGCCTGTGTGGGTCCCACCCCCAGCAGGGGGTACAAGGTGAATGGGCTGGGACACCTAGAAAGCAGAGCTGGATTCAGCAGCTGCAGCAACCAGAAGGAGCCACTGTTGCTGGGGCTGCCAGGAAATGGATTCCAGCCACCATGCCACCCTAGCCCTGCTGTGCGCCTGGGGGTGGCAGGACTGGCTGCACGTGCCACAGCCCAGGCTTCCTCCTGCACCTGGGCTGGGCTGGGCAGGATTGAGGGACCCACTGCAGACCCTCCCTCAGCAGGTCAGATTCAGCTCACAGTCTGTATTGTGCCTACACCTGTGCTAAGTAAGACCTTTTCACTGAAGGAAGGGAGGGAGAAGCTAAACTGAGTTAATTCCTTGTTAATTCATATGAATTTCTTCTACATGTGCAATTAATTCAAAGCAATAAACTCCAGAGCAGTTTGAGTCATAGTAAACTACTCCTGGGTGCTGCATCTGCATGTGTGCCCAGGACAACAGCAATTTGAACCAGGGCAGAGTAGTTTATGCCAGGGCTAGGGCTACCCTGCTCTGCCCCAAGTCTGGGGGGTGGCATTGGGCAGCAGAGGGGTTGGCTGGAGCATGTGGGTGCTGAAAGTGTGGAGCTGTGAGTCTAGGCAGCAGGCAGGAGTCTAGCCCCCTGCTGGCTGGGCTTATGGGGTGCAATTTATGCCTGTGGTTAGTGTCTACATGTGTGTTTAATCACAGTTAATTACTCCTCAGGGTACTCAAGGACCTTGCTACCTTATGGCATTCTTAATTAATTTACTGTGACCTAACAGCATCACATGTGTAGATGGTGATGTTTTACTCCACAGCTAAATAGTCTATCCTGCAGTAAAGCACACGTTTAAGACGTGGCCACTGGGGACCAGATAACTGTCCTGTATCCTGGCACTTCTGGAAATTCCTTGATGTCCATTTTGGTGTTAATTTAGACTGGGAATGACAGTAGTTCCTTCTGTTTCTTCTATGATGTTCTTATAAAACTCCTAATTTCATTGGCCTAGTTTCTGAATCCTTTGCCTGTGTAAAATAAGTGCTCTGACCCTTCATGCTATTTGCTGCTTTCTGATGAAAGCAAAGGACTGATACAGTGTATTTGTGGCATTTTGGCAGCAATGCAGATGTTGAATGCATGTAGCAGTATAAGAAGTATGTTAATTGCCATGACATTTTGCTTTTGCTTTCCTCTGAAGCATCTGGCATTAACACTTGCCAGAAAAAGGATATTCAATTTGAATTCCAGTGCTATGGAAATCTGGAAATTCTTGTTTTCCTCTGTACTGTATGTTAGACAGCAGTCGGCTCACTAAAGAACATTCCACACTCCTTCTGCCTGCCCCTTGTAGCCTCTTCAGAAGTTACTAGCTATATGTTTTTAGACCGGGGTGGACAAAATACGGCTCATCACAGGGGTGTGTGGGGAGTAGATTGTGGCTCTTCCCCAGCCCTGGCCATCGATCCTGCTCCCAGATGCTGCTCCCTGACTGCCTGCCACACATCCCAATCACCTGGCCAATGCACAGAGCAGAGCCACTTAAAGAGTTTTAGTGAGCTGTTGTGGTGGGGAGGGGGTGCTGACCTGGCCCACAACAGCTGCCAAAACTCCCTAAGTGAACCTTGGTACCAAATAATTGCCCACCCCTAAACCATTTCTTTCTTGCCTATCTCCTTTCATCAACCTCTGCTCATAGTTAATTTGTTTTCTGTTTTTTCTTCCCCATAGTATAACAGTTTTGAGCAACTTTGCATCAATTACACAAATGAAAAACTACAACAGTTTTTCAATCATCACATGTTTGTCTTGGAACAAGAAGAGTATAAAAAGGAAGGCATTGAATGGGTGTTCATTGATTTTGGCTTGGACCTTCAGGCTTGCATTGACCTAATTGAGAAGGTACGTACAGAAGCAGTAAGGCATGGTGCTCCCTTGGAGCAATGCTGAATTATGACACGCTGAGGCCCTAAACTATGTCCAGTTTAAGAGGCCCCATACAATAAAAATAATCCACAAAATCCATGAAAATAGATTCCCATTAACTTTTAAGATGAATTATTGTTATTTCTGTATAAATCTATTAACTCAATATGAATAATAACTGTGGAATCACATATACGTATATTTTGTCATATTAGAACAAGACTGTCCAGTTTTTTTTTTCTTATTTAGAGCCCCTCATATTGTGAGGCCCTAAGCTGTAGTTTAAGCCTTAATCCGGCCCTGACCCTGCAGTCCAAATAGAAAAATGATTCAGTAACCTCAGCAGCTGTGTTGGGGGGTGGGGGCTCAATGATTAATTGCCTATCTAGTCAACAATTTATGATCCTGGGTATTCCCCAAAACAACATTGTTTTTCTCTGAGCAACAATAACTATGGGCATGCTGCAGCATACTTGAGATCATGCTTCGATTCCAATGGAACACAGAGTCATTTGGCCATTGGCATCAGTAGATTTCTTCCACTGGCATCACAGGGAGCTGGATCCTATCCTGATAAACTCAGAAATAGGAGTCAGCCTAAGTAACTTGGAAAGTGAATACAGCAAAACCTGAAAGTCTTTATGATATACTACCAGAGGCCTGTGTAAGTACTCAAAGGAAAAGGCTTCACACCGAGATGTTGAAAATTTGGCTGCCATTTTAACAGAATACACAGGAGTCACCTGCCCATAGGATGAACAATCCTGCAAGCATGGGATTCAATCAAGTCAAGCCTAAATATTGTGTAGCCTAATATAATCAGGTAACCAAGAAACTGGTATTCTAAATATTGTTCTACTATAATCTGTTTGGATCAACAGCCATTAGGAATCCTGTCTATCCTTGAAGAGGAGTGCATGTTCCCAAAGGCTACTGATATGACATTCAAAGCCAAACTCTATGACAACCATCTTGGCAAGTCACCCAACTTCCAGAAACCCAGACCTGATAAGAAAAGGAAATATGAAGCTCACTTTGAACTTCTTCATTATGCTGGTGCAGTAAGTTTCCAACATCACGAGCTAGATGTTAGACTAGAATTCCTCCAAATGGGTGTGTTCCATAAGCATGGTGGGAGGCAAAAATTATACTTCTGGCAAGCCTCTCTCCATGAAAACCTAGGGAGTCATATTCATTAAAACTCAGAAATAATGGACCAGTGAAGAAGGACTGAAGCTGGCTTAGTAAGATTTGGTTTGTCCTGTACAATTGACTGAAGTTACTCACCTTCAGAAAAGTGACTGTTAAAAGAAAAATGCCGCCTTCTTAGTTAACACAGTAATCCCCTGTGCAAATTCAGTCATCTCTAAGTTGACTACAAAACAAATGTTATTACTTTTTTTTGCTTTTATTAGTATTGCAGAGCCAACACTGCTGCAAGAATGCAATAGATTGATTAATTCTCCCTTCTGCATATTTAACAAAATGTTAACAAAGGCCTACCTGCAAAATCTGTCACTGGAGGCTGGTGATACACAAGCCCAAAGTAGTCCAGTTTCAGATTTAGAACTGAGTTTTCAGATTGGGAAAAAAAGGTGGGGGAAAATGCCTTTTGCTCAAATACGGCACTTTTACACGTGCTCTGGAGGTGATGGTCGGGCAGGGGAGATGCTTTAATTAGAGCAGGTCTGAGAGCCGTTCTAATTAAAGTGTCACAGTATCTCATGTATTGGTGTCCCCGCACTTCAAAATGGCAATGGCATGTTCAAAATGTTCAACAAGCTTTAGATAAAGCACCCCTGCCATCATTTTGAAGTGCATGGACACTGATACATGAGACACGGGAGGCTGCTGGAGCACAGTAATTACCATGCTCCAGCAGACTCAATTAATCGAGTCTGTTCCAATGTGCTGTAATTACAGTGTGCTGGAGCAGCCTCCACCCTTGTGTATAGATAGATACTTAGGCCACGTGTAGATGAAATAAGGGGCATGTGTGCACAGCACTTGAAAGCGGGCTAAATTCTTTTGTACTGCTTTAATGGCCTCAGTGGCGTATTGCGCATTAATTCCAGCCGCTGTTAGAAATTTGGCAGTGTAATGCGCCTTAAATGGCTCTGTGCAGCTCCACGACACTGCAGGAAGCCCTGCAGGCAGCCTGGCAGCAGCCTGGGAAGGCAGGCTTCGCCCAAGAAAAACAGTGAGCCTGATCTCCCCCCCACCCCGATCCTGCCTGCCTGAGCTGCATCAGGGCTTGGTGCTTCCCTCCATGACTGTGGTGCCCCCTGGGACTGCCCAAGCCAGGTGCCTGTGGGTGGGTGCCGCCTGGGCTTGGGCCACCACTGCCGTGGAGGGAAGCACCATGTGATAGGAAGCTACTGAGACAATAAGGATGCAGACAAGTGGCATTTTTCATGCTATCTGGCCCCTGAAAGTGTTCTACAGCAACGTCATAACACATGGGCATGGTTGCAGAGTGCTTTTAAAATGGCCAGTCACATGACAAAGTAACCCTTGTTAAATCAGGTAATAAATGAAGGCTTTCTAAATTAGATCATCTTAGAGAACTTGTATATAGTTCTCTGCAAGGTTTACCTGTCATATTCCTGGTCTGCCACAGGAAGGAGGCAGAGATTCTCCTCCCTGTGCAGCCAGGGAAGGAGGGAGAGGCCTTGAGTGTGTTCCCCCTCCCTGCCCTGGGACACTGGAGACATTTCCTGCTGGGGGGACCTGGCTGAGCCCCCAAACTCCTGATAGCTAACCAGCTGCACCCCTGCTGCCACCTGGCAATGCTATAGCTGACAAGCAGTGGCAGGTGGGCTGTGGGGTGGCATGTGATCCCCAAAGCCATGAGGGTTCAGCCTGGGTACTATTGCTAGAGTCTGAGGGGTTGCCAAACTGAGCCTATACAGCTCTGGGGGCCCAGAAACCCCAGACTGCCCCACCTATACTGACAGCAGACCCTGGGCTTTGCACCCCTAGCTGGCTTACAAAACAGGTGACTGCGTCTGCTGCCACCTGGCCTCTGTCAGCGCACGGGAGCATTGAGCCCCCATGAACTTGTGTGTTACTTTTCCATGACACTGCAACTTTAAGCCCTTTGTGTAAATCAGGGCAAACAGTTACAGTATGACTTGAGGTGCCATTATAACTCCTGTAAGCATCCTAAAAGTCTCAAAACAGCAACAATGACAAAAGCCAAACCAAGCAGAGTCTCATTGACCTTAATCTAGTTTCCTATATAGCAGTAATAGGAATACCTCTCTTTTGTGAATCGTGTTTCTTTCCTCCGTAGAGCTCAAAGAATGGTATCGTTGTCCACTTTTTATTAGTGGGGAAAGTGAGGCAATGAAAGTGGAAGCTATTTGCCTGAGGTAGAATCATAGAAAATGAGGTTTGGAGGGGACCTCAGGAGGTCATCTAGTCCAACCTCTTGCTCAAAGCAGAAACATCCCCAACTAGATCATCCCAGCTGAGGCTTTATCTACTCAGGCCTGAAAAACTTCCAAAGATGGAGATTCCCCCACCCCTCTGGGTAATCTGTTCCAGTGAGAAAATTATTCCTAATATCTAACCTGAACTTCCCTTGCTGCAACTTGAGACCATTGCTCCTTATTCTGTCTGCCACCCTTGAGACTAGTCTAGCTCCATCCTCTTTCAACACCCCCTCCCCCACCAGCCTTCTTCAGGTAGTTGAAGGCTGGTATTAAATCCTCTCAGTCTTCTCTTCTGTAGACTAAATAAGCCCAGTTCCCTCAGCCTCTCTCAGAAGTCATGTGCCCCAGCCCCTTCACCATTGTCATTTCCCTTCCCTGGACTCCCTCCAGTCTGTGCACTTCCTGCCTGCAGTGGGGGGATTTTGGAGGCTTCTGATGGGAATGATTTGGAACATGAGGCTGGAGTCAGAAAATGGAGGGTTGGGTGAAAAATGGTAGAAGACTGAAATGCAGGTATGGCTCAAGCAAAGGATCTCTTTTGAAGTGCCTCGGGAAATATATAAATCTTGTGACATTCATTTGAAGCCAAACTGGAAAGAATTGAAAGTATATTTGAGACAGGGAAAGAGAGAGAGTGCCAGTCTGAGATAATCTCTTTTTAAAATATTTTTTGCCCATGTGGTTATCTGTAGGTGCCCTATAACATCATTGGCTGGCTTGAGAAGAACAAAGACCCACTTAATGAAACAGTAGTGGGCACTTTTCAAAAGTCCTCCAACAAACTTCTGTCCTGCCTCTTTGAAAACTACGTCAGTGCTGACAGCGGTAAGCAGAATGATTTGACTTGGATTTTCTTTCATTTCCAGGAAATGTGCTTGGTGGTGGATTTTAAAAATAAACCATTGTAAGCAGATACTTACCCCCAGTTAAAACAGGAATGTCTTAGTTGTATGGGTGAGCATGGTATTTGCTTGCTATGATATTTTAAGAGGGAATAACTCATCCAAATTGTGTGTACAAGATTTCTCAGCAGTGTCTAGAATCTAGACTAAACAAGCAACTTACCATTTAGGAAGCAGTACTTTCTGTGATAATTGAAGCTCTTCCATTAAGAGTTTTTTTATTCGACTAGGGATAGGCAAACTGGAAAATACCAGACCAGTGTTTCTCTAAACCTGCCAACTCTGCATAAGTAGTGGAAGGAAGCCTTCCAATAACAGGTTTTATTGAAAAGACTTCTAACTTGTCCAAGGGAGTACTTAGCTCCCTTGTTCTTACTCAGCTGTTTTATTTGGGAGGTGGCACACCACATAGCACACCACATGATGGGGTTGATCAGAATCATTCCCACCAGGAGGTAGCACACCATGTGCTTCTGTAAAACTCATGTTGAGTCAGAAGAACTGGACTCATTACAGAGATATTGCTGTTATGTCTTGAACTCACAATCGGTTACATCTTATTTAGTAGTAATCTCATTTATACAGTTGTAGTTGTCATGAATCATAAAGCCACTTCTGAAGCCAGTAGGTAAACAGCAGGCTTTGTAATGTGAATTACTGATGGAGCAGAATAACAATATGAAAAAGACTGCCTCAGGCAAATTGTTGCAGGTAACAGAGTGCCTGTTTGCCTTGGTAACATGGAGCATCATTCCCAGAAGTGCTTCTTTGTCCTTCACCCAGGCCAGGAAAAAGGAATAGCCAATCTCATCACAGTCATTTTGAACATGGGTAGACATTTTTTACATCAAATACTGTGCGTTCTTCACTTCCTTTTATTCAGACTGCTTTTGACAGGTCATCCAAATGCCAGTCCTCCTACAGGTGACCTAATCTTCCAAGTTTAGATAGGCAAAAGTAATTGTTGTGTATTTAAAGGTAGCAAATATATCCTGAGGAGCACAGTACAACTCCAGTCCGGGTGTGAATGAAGTGGAAACTGCATTCCCTGAATTTTCGTTTAAGATTCAAAGCCATATGATCTCAAATCAAAGAAAAATTGGCCATTAAGGCCTCTTCTGAGTCCTATGCTCCGTAAACAAATGCTGTTGGCCTGGCTTCAATCTCCCTGAAGCATAATGTGGCATGTTTGCTAAGATCTTGGATAAAAACCAAGATGGAGAGTGTACCTATCATGTGTCTCCCAACGCATTAAACAGCCAGTAGCATAATGAGGATGGAATGACCAGGGCACCAGCCCCAGATGCCTACTTAGAGGGGCACAGAAACAGCAGCTGCTGCAGTCACTACCGCCTAGATGGCCTTACTGCTGCCACATCCAACACAGCTGCTGCCACAGTCACTGAGGGCACACACCTTGGTAGTTACACCTCTATAAACAATATTACTGACTTTATACTAATGCTAGTTTGGGAAGTTTCAGTATACCACTTGGCTAACCAGAAGACCCACATGATCCTGGTTTCACCTTTTATCCAAGGTTTAATTGACTTGTAATTTAAAAAAGGTGTTCACCATTTTTTTATTTTTTACCTGAATTACCTGGTTCAGTTGTTTATATATTTCACTTCTTTATTTTTTTTTAGATCAGAGTGGTGAAAAGAAACGCAAGAAAGGTGCTTCCTTCCAAACAGTGTCATCATTACACAAAGTAATTTTCAATTCTTTACAAGCATATCGCTTGTTACTTGATTTTTCAGCTATGCAGAGTCACAGTGTTAAAAAGAGGTTCCTAAAGTGCTTTTGTAGATCAAAGGAAACTGAAGTCAAATGTCTCAGTTCTGTTCTGGCTTGGGTGTTAACCAGGATGGATTAAGTGAAAAAAATAACTAATTGTTTAATGAACAAATTCCTTGTTTTCTGTTTTTTTGATATCCAGTGTTTTTCAATTGTTTTGATCATATTATTCAATCTTTTTTAGGGGTTTTTTTTGTTTACTGTATGAGGTATTTCAAAGGCATTGTTTGTTTGCAATTTGGAGCTCATTGCCTGATTTTGTTTCTTGTCCCTTATTAGATTAACATACTATATACAATCAGAATAATATGTGGAATGTTTATGGAACACTAAAGTAAAATGCACAATGTGCTTTTCCTGGGTATTGGAGCTTAAAACTTATTTTCTGCACCTATTGTCCCATTAAAATTGAAACGCCTTTTTGTAGAGGCTTAATGGAAAGACATGTTTTCACTGGCAAAAAAACTCCTATAATTTACCAGCAGTGCAATACCACCTGGGTGACAATAGAGGAAACTGAAATATATATAAGCCTTGAGTCTCCTCTTCCTGCAATCTCTCCCACACCCCTCAATCCTGCAGATACCACTGTGTTACCCAATCTTGCTGCTATCTTTTGATAATGGGATGACATCACTAGAGAACCAAGTGATATTTTTGCCAATGTAAACATAGCAAAGAAGTGTGAAGATAGCAGGGGCAAATTTCTAAAGCCTGAAGTTTTTGATTATCGGTTGATAAAGAAGCACATTTTCCAAGATACTGAGGACATATAGCTGCTCAACTTGCATTGTCCCACCTCTAGCAGTGTAAGGACATCCTTTGCATAAATTGGTATATCAAAACCATTCAGTCTAAATACGCTACAGTGATAATATGACTTTCTACTTCTAATCAGTTTTATTTTCTACTTATTAGATTGTATGTGTTGTGTAGTGTTAGTATTCACATATGCACATGCTACAATGCTTGGCTTTCTATTGATTTAGCTAACTTTTGTTTTTATTATACTCATTGTAGGAAAATTTAAATAAACTGATGACTAACCTGAGATCTACAGCTCCTCACTTTGTGCGATGTATTATCCCCAATGAAACTAAAACTCCAGGTACAGAAAGCCTTTTATCTGTATGTATTTCAGGACTGTTGTCTGCTCTCAATTGTTTATTTCTATTGGTATTGAATTTAAATGCTATTTTATTAGTCACTATGCAGGTTGCCCGTTCAAGACATGACTCCCAAATCTGCTCCCATATTGGACTAACTGAAAGTTAAATCCTCATGAAAAGGATCTAATTTTATTTAGTTGGTTTTTTTAACCTTTTTAGGTGAAATAGATGCTTTCCTTGTCCTGCATCAGCTTCGCTGTAATGGTGTGCTGGAAGGAATCCGTATTTGCCGTAAGGGGTTTCCAAACAGAGTGCTTTATGCTGACTTTAAACAAAGGTAAAGCAGAATCGACCTCTGAACACAAGTTTTGCATTTCTGTTTGCTCTCCATTCCTTCCCAGTAAAAATGAGCCACAGCAGTCCTTTCCTTTTCTCTTTTATTTAAGTTTCTTTTCAGTTCTGTTTGATCTCAAGTCAATTGTTCTGCTTTCCTTTGTGTTAGTAAACAGAAAACATTGAATTGGCTTCCCTGAAGTTATTCTAGATTTATTGTAGTCTTAATAAGAGTGGAATTTTGCCCAGAATCTTGGCATTCTTAACTTTCTCATCCCCTTTTATTTATTAATAGATATCGCATTCTGAATCCAGCTGCAATTCCTGAGGATAAGTTTGTAGATAGCAGAAAAGCTTCTGAGAAGCTGCTGAGTTCTTTAGATATCGATCATAATCAGTATCGTTTTGGACACACTAAGGTAACCAGAAAAGACCATGCAGTTCCTTTTACAAAAATAGTGTCTGGACTAAAAGAATCCAACATGCAGCCCTCAGTGGGGCACACTTACACATGCTAACAGCTTAAGTGAGTTTGGAACAAGTGATCTGTTAGCCATAGTTTTAATAATTTGTAATAATTAATTTTAGTAATTTTCAGAAAACAAATTATAGATCTTTGTTTTATATGTCAAGAGGAAATGTTCCAATGCCCATGTAGTTTTTACTATTGGAGCAACAATACTGACCACTAACAGGATGAGCTCATCCATCACTGCCATTAGCAGTTCTACTGCCATGTAAACAGAATGTTCATTACTATTCATTTGCCTTACTTAAATAAGAAGGGGTCAGCTTCACTTTGTGAAATGGCACCAAACACAATTTTGTCCTGTCCTGTCTATACTTCCAGTTAAATTGATCCAATTCAGTCCATTTTCATCAACGGAGGAAGATTTTTTTGTAGACAAGGCTCATGAGACTAACAATGGTCATGCCTGGTACCACGTGACTTTATTCCCATTTTATTATGCCTGGTTATAATTTTTAAAAGTGAGAAAATTTACAAATATATAACAGTTTTGTAACATAGGCCACACTAATGTATCTCGCATTTGAAATAGGCAAAGAAAAAAAACAAACACATTAAAACATTGAAAAATGGTTAGGGCATCATAATGGATCAACACAGCTCCCTAACCTAGAACCTAATGCTTCCTAACTATCTATTCATTTCTGCTGCAGAAATTGACCAATATGTATAGCACCTTTACCTGTTTAAGCTTTATCATAACTGCCAATATAAAAACTAATTTTCATCAATCCATGTTTCTTGAGGATGGAATTATTCTCTGATTGCTCCTAAGTGGCACCTGTCTATATTTTAGGTATTCTTTAAGGCTGGGCTCCTGGGTCATCTTGAAGAGATGAGGGATGAGAGACTAGCAAAGATCCTAACAATGATCCAGGCAAGAGCACGTGGCAAGCTAATGAGAGCCGAGTTCCAGAAGATGGTGGAGCGAAGGTATGGATTGTTCCCTTAAGTCTGGGAAACCATGCCACTGCTGCCTCACTGATGACTAAATAGGACCATTAAGCTTTTAGTGAGTATGTCTACACAAGATGCTTTACTTTGCAGTAGATTAGTCTACTGCACAGTTAGTTACTACCCATAAATACAGGTAGTAAACTAACTGTACAGTAGATACTGCACACTAGCATATGTGTAGATGCTGGCTGGGGGTACATTTGCTCCCAGTCACCCCGTACACTAGGGGGCCACAGGGGATGGGGAATTCCCCCCGGTCCTAGCACTACTCAGCTCCCAGCTCCCCCCAGGGGTTGGGAGCCAAGCAGCACTGGGATGGGATAGCTCTCTTTCCCCACCCCATCCTAGCACTGCTCAGCTTGTTGCTCCTCACAGGAGCTGGGAGCTGAACAATGCTAGGATCCGGGCGCTCCCTGGAGCTGGCCAGGAACTGTCCCATTCTGGGGCAGGTCCCAGCCATCTCTGGCCTATATGAGGAGATTTCCATGCATCCCAAAGCCAGCCAGGAACTGTCCCACTTCTGGGGCAAGTCCCAGCCAGATCCAGACTGCACAGAGATTTCCCCATGCAGGTTGGGGCTGGCTGGGAACTGTCCTGCTTCTGGAGGAGGTTCTGACCAGTTCCAGGCTGTGGGGAGAAGTCCTGCTGGGCCTGTGGCTTGTCCCCATGTGCACAGTGCAGGAAAGCTCTGCAGCAGCAGCAGCAGCAGCAGCAGAGCTGGCTGCTGCTGCTGCTATCTTCTGCTATCTTCTGGCCCCGTGGACATCAGGACCCCTCCCAATGTGTACAGGGCCAGGAGACAGCTGCTGCTGCAGCCAGCAGAGCTCTTCTGGCCCCAAGAGCATGAGGACCAGTCCCATGCTCCCTGCCAGCCCCTGGGCTAACATTCAGTGGGAGCCTGTACTGGGCTGCTCCTATTGGGAGCATGTGTAGACGTGCTCCCAGATAGGCTTACTGCACAGTATTTTTACTGCGCAGTAAGCCTACTTCAAATTAATAGTACATGCAGACATGTCCAGTGGGCACATCTACGCATGCACTTTAATAAGCAGTAGCCTATTTTACTGCGTATTAAAGTAGCACATAAAAAAAATGTCATTATGCTAATGCACAGTAAAACAGGCTACTGTGCATTAAGTGTCACCTACAAAGTGTGCACTTGTGCTACTGCACATTAGCACAGCTTAATGTGCATTAATTTAATACCTGACATTGGAGGTACTAAATTTAATGTACATTAGGAAAAGTATATTAATGCTTGTGTAGACATGCCCAGTGGTACTTAAGGCTTAATAGCACGTAAGTTTTTACTGGGATGTAAGATAAGGGTGTTAACATGTCATTTTTGTGGATGTACAGTACAAAATTGCAATTGTTGCACGTTAGTTACCCATGAATTCAGATTTTAATCAGAGATGAAGCTGGTCAATATCTCTGAAGGTCAAGATATAAGAAACACATTTTTTGCATGACCCACTACAAGTTCCTAATGCTATTCAGACCACAAAGGCAGAACTGACTCAAGGATGGCCTAAAAAAGAATTCGCTCTCTCTCAACTCAGGCTGAGTTTTTCATTTGTTAAACCAGGGATGCCCTTCTTGTGATCCAGTGGAACATTAGAGCTTTCATGGCTGTGAAGAACTGGCCTTGGATGAAGCTGTTCTTTAAGATCAAGCCACTCCTGAAGTCTGCAGAAACTGAGAAGGAAATGGCCAACATGAAGGAAGAGTTCTTGAAGCTAAAGGAGGCCTTGGAAAAGTCAGAAGCCAGGAGGAAGGACCTTGAAGAAAAGCAAGTGTCTCTGGTTCAGGAGAAGAATGACTTGCTCCTTCAGTTGCAGTCTGTGAGTGGGTGTACTTGATGTTCTTTCAAACATGACAACTTACCAACCGTGGTATTTATACAGATGGTTTTAAATTAAGCTGCTGTTCTTGTTAGGAAAGTAGGTTAACATTCTTACCATGAATATAAACTCATGTTTAAGGATGTAGGTCATAATCTTTGAAACAGTTTTAAAAGTCTAGTTCATAGTAATAGCCATGTTCACCATAACTAGATGTGGATAGTAGTTTACCAATTTGTATGTGCAAATGGATGTGTCCAACATTGTAGGCCTCATCTTATTCCCCTTGGATTTTTCAGAATTCTTGTCTTTAACATAAGTGGAAAGAAAGAATAGGCTCCTTCAGAAAGTCCATATTTACCTATTCCCATAGCCTTTTTGATTATGCTTCTCTGACCTACATACTAATGTGTGGTTGAGGATCCATAAAGGGATGGGAGACAAACAGTAAAGAATAAAGATGACTGCTCCTACACACTGTGGTCATCTTCTTGTACTACACCAGGAACAAGATACTCTGTCAGATGCAGAAGAACGATGTGACTTGCTGATTAAATCCAAGATCCAGCTGGAGGCAAAAGTCAAAGAGCTGACAGAGAGAGTGGAAGATGAGGAGGAAATGAACTCTGAACTGACGTCAAAGAAGAGAAAACTAGAAGATGAGTGCTCTGAACTGAAGAAAGATATTGATGACCTTGAAATAACTCTAGCTAAAGTAGAGAAAGAGAAACATGCTACTGAAAATAAGGTACCATTAGAAATACACCATACCTCTCCATAAAGGATTGATAAGTAGGCTACTTTACAGTGAGTGTTACTAGAGTTCTGCAAGTCAACACTTTGTATTAAGTATTAAGCGACTTAAATTCAGGCCAAGCTACAAGACTAGAGTATAACGTATAGAGTATAAAGTGCATAGCTAAGTGACTTTGTGAAAGACAACAGTTTTAGGTTGATTCTGAGTCTCCCTTTACCCATGTGAGTTGTGCTGCCATTGGCAGCTAAATTTCGCATTAGTTGTGCCCCTTAAATGTATTTCCTGAGGCCTAGGACTACTCATGGATATATTTTCTGTGCTACTAAGAATGGTGCCTGTTTTGATTAGTATCAACTTCTTAGCCTTTCATATTAAGCAACTGTCCCCTTGACCATATTCAGTCTCCAAACAGTGTGCATTTGGCAGATGTCCCCATAATGAAGGCACAGCAAGAATTGGCACTAATTAGCTACCTTGCTGGCAGTTTCAACCGATGAGGCAAACATTGAATGAACTCCCCTTTTACTCCATCATCCTAATGGCCAGGCAGCAGTATACATACATAGTCTAGGTTGTTCTTTCTGGCCAGTTTACAGTTATCTCTGCTGAAAAGACTTGCAAGCACATCTGTAACTGCTGTTGCACTTATTTAACCTCACAGGTCAAAAATCTGACAGAAGAAATGGCAGCTGTTGATGAGTCCATCAGCAAACTCACTAAAGAGAAGAAATCTTTGCAAGAAGCTCACCAGCAAGCTCTGGATGACCTACAGGCAGAGGAGGACAAGGTCAATGCACTGAGCAAACTGAAACTGAAACTGGAGCAGCAGGTGGATGATGTACGTTTGTTCTTCTCTTCATTTCCTATGCTGATATGTTTATTTATAACTTTTTTGAAAGTGGGAAACTCTGAAATATGTTGTGTTTTTTTGTAAATGCTCATCTAGGATGTACAAATGAAAGTCCCAATATAAGGTGTCTAATGCAAGCAATACTATAATAATTTTCCTCTATCGTTGAATATTTGAAAGGAAGGCAACAATGATGAAGGCATCTATTTAGTTTTTATTGCAATGTAATTGTCCTTTAGTCATACTAACCTTTGTGAAGAAGAGGCTACCATGATGCCTGCACAAAGAAGAAGCCTAGAGAGGTCCTTGCACCATATTATCACAGCCTGAATTGTCCTGGAAGCTTGAAGCTTCAAGTACTCCCTGAAACTAGGAAGGACAAGCATAAAATGAGAAAGTTGCAGAAGAACTTTTCTGCTTCAGGCTTTGTTAATGTTTAATACAAAACTGGAGGTTGGAATGGTGTTGATGCCTTTGGACATATTGCATCACTGGTTTCTTGTTCCTATAGCTGGAGGGCTCACTTGAACAGGAGAAGAAGGTGAGGATGGATCTAGAAAGGGCCAAACGTAAACTGGAAGGAGATCTGAAGCTGACCCAAGAGAGTGTCATGGATTTGGAGAATGATAAGCTGCAGCTGGAAGAAAAGCTAAAGAAGTAAGGAACCATTTATATTGTACAATATAGCACAGAAGCATGGGGTTTGTCCTTTCAGATCCATCAAGTCAAGCATCTCCCTATGGCAGTGGCTCATATCAATGCCATTTCAGAGGAAACTGTACCTGATATGCGATGCAATGCTGCATATGGACAGAATAATTTCTTTCTAGCACTCAGCAGCACTGAATGCCTGAACCTTGCCAAATATACTTTTTTCCTTTGAATTTGAAAAGGTGTTGTATCTCTACAAATTTTCAAAGGCGGCAGAGTGGTTAAAGCATTGTGCTCCAGTTTTAGAGACATGAGTTCAAACCTTGTGCCAAAGGCTTTCCCTTTATATCAGATGTAAATGAGGAGTCAAAGGCAGTCAATGTGAAGCTAGTCCATCATTCTCTTGCATGTCCTTGTTTACAGAAAGCTATTCCATGGGTTGGCAGGCTCAGGATATATCATTTATGAATAATAATGGTAAAATGTTCTCATCTACTGTATATAGCACACAGCATAGTACTTTTTTCTTGGTTGTTTTTAAACTTGGTTGAAATTAAAATTCATTCAAGACAGAAGTGTGTAGCATTAAGGAGCTTTGAGCATAGTACTGTAATACAATAGGAGTTCCTGCAGGGCCTTAGCTTGAACAAGGTTGCTTAGAGAGAAGACTGTTGCACCTATACAGTATTATATCTTCTTGCTTATTTGCAGTTGAATTTGGTTTTCACATTTGCTCCCAAGACTTTATCTAGAGACTGACAGAAAAAAATTGCTTTAGTCAAACTTTGCTTGAACTTCTAGGATAAATTTTCACAGGAATTTCCTTGCCTTAACAGGAAAGAATTTGAAGTTAATCAACTGAGTTCCAAGATCGAGGATGAGCAAGCTTTAGTGGTACAACTCCAGAAGAAGATCAAGGAGCTTCAGGTAAGCCTTTTCTACTTCTTTTCACAAATCATAATTGCTATACTTCAATTAAGTGAAGCACTTGGCTTCTGAGTTTGGTACTGGCCAATTAAGTTTTTTTTTTGTGGTTTACTTGAACTCTTATGTCATCCACTATCTGCAAGCCTATTTTGGGCTTTGCAGGCCTAGTCTTGTCCTCAGAAATATTTATGGTTTAATAACTTATGATATCCATGTGTCTGAAGTCAGAATTGATCCCCAGAGAGGAGTAGGAAAGCCTAGAAAATGAAGGTAGCAGCTGGGAAGTCTATGTCCCAACTTCTCCTCTGGATATATTGGACAGAGAAAGGAAAGGGACCTGGCTGACCTCAAACACTCATGCTTTCCCCTGAAGTGTGGGCCACAAAAGAGGAGACTGAACCAACTGAGAAGCCACTCCAAAAGCTCGGGAGTTCATTTCTTAAGTGAAGAGGAAGGGATTTTCCATTTTCTGGCAAGAGGAACCCAGGCATGGAACCCCATCCTCAAGCAAAGGGAACAGAGAATCACAGGTTTAACTAGAGAGGTTCACACCATGGAGATTCATGAAGGACACGAAAATGTTGATTAAGAGGGAAATAAGTCTGAGCATGGGTGCAGGAGAACAAAATGATGGAACCTGGGGGCCAGAAGACTGTAAATTAAAGAATCCCAATGTGAATCTGACTTGCAAAACTTGAGTTATATACTTTCACAAAAAACCTGTCATGTAGAGCTTTGTTGATTTTTTTTTCTGGCAAATAATATATTTTCTAAACAAAGATAGGTAGTGAATTTGACTTAATTTCAGTGCAAAGTTTGCACCAAAAAAAAAGGCAAAGAGAAATCCAAGCTCAGTCTCAAAACAGACTCTGTTTAAAAGGAAAAGGGATGGCAGGGGAAATTCGGTAAACTAAACCTGAGATATTTTAGTCAACACAACAAAATCTGCATGGCAATTCTTTTTTCCAAGTTTGGCCACTGAATTGAAAAAAATCCATTATTCACATGTATTTGCTACCAGTTGTTCCTGATCTCCATCTCTCATTCTCCTGACAGAGGTTGAAGACCTTGCAACAACATGACTATTAAATTCAGGGGGAAAAGAACCTCTTGAGCTTTCTTGAACAGTAGTTGAACAGTCCATTACACGGACATATACATTATTTTTCTTATTTCTGACCTGTCTTTAGTCTACCTAAATTGCAGGGGGACTTACCAAATTTTGCAGGTGGATTGCGGTGTAAAGTTCTAATTCTGCAGTCATTTGGAGGTGGCCCCACCCCATGGCGCTCACTGACAGAGAGGCCCTGGGGGGCACAAGGGGCCAGCCACCACCTTGATTGCTGGGTGCTCTTCATGTGGCCCTGCCCCTTGGCCCTGATTGGCAGACAGGCTCCAGCAAGGGGAGAAGGCACAAGGGGGGAGCTGCCACCTTGTCTACTGTCCTTTGTGTCACCCCACCAGCCAGTGTATTCCCCTCCCAGCAGCAAGTACCGCTGGCTTCAACTGGGGAGCCAAAATTTTATTTGTTAGGGTTTTTTGTTGATTTTATGGACAAACCCAGATTTTGCAGTTTCCGTGAAATCTGTGAAACTCCAAATTAAGTAGGCCCCTACCTATATATCTTGAACTAATGTTTGAAGAGAAAGAATTTAACAGTTTTAGTAGGAGATAAGTGCTATTGCAGCTCTGACACTTATTTAATGCCTTTACTGGGTAAATTCCTGGGCAAGTGGCTCCCTGTCTGTCTAAATCCATTGTGTACTGTATTTTCTGGAAAACAGCAGAAAAAGCTAGATCTAGACATAGATGATAATATGTGCCATATCAGGCTGACATGTGGATGTGTGTAAAGTACTGAAAACATTTGAGGGAAGTTAGTACTGAGGTAAACAATGTTAATATACACCAGTGTGTCCTTGTTTGATAGGCTCGTATAGAGGAGCTAGAAGAGGAGCTGGAAGCGGAAAGAGCTGCTCGAGCCAAGGTGGAGAAACAGAGATCAGAACTGGCTCGAGAGCTGGAGGAACTGAGCGAACGGCTAGAGGAGGCTGGGGGAGCCACCGCTGTCCAGCTGGAGATGAACAAGAAACGAGAGGCAGAGTTTCTGAAGCTGCGGCGGGACCTTGAGGAGGCCACTCTGCATTATGAGGCCACAGCTGCCACCCTAAGGAAGAAGCATGCAGACAGCATGGCAGAGCTGGGGGAGCATCTGGACAACCTACAGCGGGTCAAACAGAAATTGGAGAAAGAGAAGAGTGAGCTGAAGCTGGAGGTGGACGACCTATCATCCAACATGGAGCAGATGGTCAAGGGAAAAGTAGGCTCTATCAGACTTCCTCACTGACAGTGCATATGGGAGTTGTTTTAAAGTTTCCAGAGGGAGACAGAGGAAGGTTTCAGATGGTGGAGA